GAAAATGTGTGCTTTAATTAAAAGAAATTGGAATTTCCATCCCCTTGCCTTTAAACTTGGGAAGATCAAATTTCCCAGCATACTTACACAAATTAAACGAAAGCACTAATTTGTCGGGCACCGGTGAAGCTGCCGACAGATTATTTGCTCATACGTCCATCCCCTCTATCAATTCCATTTTTACCACAATTGCAATGGACACGCAAATTCACTTGGCTGTATCATCAAAATGATCACAAAGTTATTGTGTCAATATGCGATGAAGCACAACATTTATTGTGTCGTATCCCTGTTGATCGTATCATGATACACGGGAGTGAATGGTGTCAACTACACAAAGACGTCTGTGCTCAAGATGACACAGTTGAGGAAAGTGCATTCAGTGAGTGAGCTGGGTGTTGGGCTACACCGAATAAGGTGAGTGCTATGGAACATTGATACATCCATGCACCAATGGTGCACCAATAAACATGTTTTAAGAAACAATACCAGTCTAGTAATAGACTTCTAAAGTGATAAACATGATAATTTTCTTTCAGAAAGCAATTCTCTTTGCATCATCCAAATACGGTTGTGGATACTTGCAAGATGTATTTGAAATGATCAAGTCAAAGGCAGCCTTACTTGCCACATGCTGAAGATCAGAGCAGTAGATTATGCTGGTTGCCAAGATTCCGTCGCATAATTCAGGAACCGTAAATATTAAGCAGACAGTCGCAGGAAGCTTCAATAAAACAGGAAAACCGATTAAAAGATTCCAACAGGTGCATTTAGGAAATGTGAATTGAGCGGCAGTCTAGACTATCACTGCGATCGCCGATCCATCTGATGGGGCGCCTAGACAATGGCATATCAACTCAAAAAAATTCATAATTTATTAGTATTCTGTTATTCCACTATTTATTCAGTAGTATACTAGCAGTATATCGATACATATGCAATATATTGTGTTAGCGTTGGTCAAGTCAAAAAAATATCACCTTGACAATTACATTGTCGTTAAATAACGAAATGATTAACATCGAATGTGATGTTGAAGCGCATTTTGAAGGCAGTATGGTCTTTGTGCAGGATCGACGCGGCTCATTGAGACCGCCAAGGTAAGTGAAATCCCTAGCACTCGTCATAAAACCACTTGATTTGTTTGCAAGCATGAAGAGGAATAGTGAGTTTGGCTGTGGCAACACGACCACGCATAAGAATTAGGAATATGCATTTGCTTAACTTTCTGCTTTTGCACAACAGGGGGTGATAAATGCAAGCACTTCCCAAAGCGTATAGCAGGATATCCATGAGAAGTTTACGAATAGCTGATAGAAAATCATATTCCTCCAGAATTAATTTTAATAGATTTGCACCTGGATTCGTGCGACTCATCATGTCGTAGTCATGTACGTGCATTTATTGCTCCCCCCACCGCAGGCATACTGGGGCACATCAGAGAAGTGGTACCAGTATTTCAACTCATGGCTCAAAAAATGCCTCAAATGTGAACTTAAGTTTACACTTGCATGATAAAGTTATACTGGCTAATTAGATTTTTACTCCAGTTATGAGATGGGTGGATACAATTATCGCAACAGTAGGTTATTTTGAAAACAAATACGATTTTTATGTAGTGCAATGAGCGGTTTGACCCATGCATTACTGCAAGCTATCGTCACCGGTGGAAATAGCAGTTAATTCATTGCGATTGTTGACGCTGACAATGACATCCGCCTTGGCGTTTGCATCGTCTCTTCGGCTCTATCCACATCATGATGCGCAAATCACGAGAGTGATGATGGAGGACGGCAAGTACGAATGCTTAGCTAAAGGTACAGTAGCACGTGCATCACGTGGAACAAATGGAGGTGGTGAGTACTGCATAAAAGGCGACACAACTCGGCACACAAGTCAGTATCACCTAAAGCAAGTAGACCGCATAGGAAAGGGGATTCGGGTGTTGGACAAGCCCGTATGCGTTGAAGCTGGTAACTGTGAGTGAGCGTAAACACAGGTAGCAATATGTGAAGCCATGTGCTTGGTCGACTGTGCTGGTGCCCTCATGTCACGCGGACTCAAAGTCATGACATAGATTAACTATTTTGATTATTGTGCGCACCAACTTTTAGAATCCATTTTCATCGCACTGACTATTCCTTTTTTAAGGTCAGGTACGAAACTATATAAATCAACAGACATAATATCTAGAAATTTAAGGCACTGGCATTTGCCTGCCTTACGGATATCCTTACAACTGACTTTCGGCAGGAACACCTAATCTCAAAAACACCCATTGCTGCTCACCACAATCGGGTGAATGATAGGTACGTTTGTGTGTTTGCATGATTATTAATTAAGGCAATCTCTCTTTACAAAGTTAGCCCCAAATTATCTTCATGTTTATGTATCATTCTCACTAGTTATCTACATTCAGGCAGTGCTCTATCATGACAGTGCATCATTAAGGCAATAGGCAGTATAGTAAAGGGCTTTAGCATCAACTGCCTCGTTAGAAACAGGGATCTAATTGCTTTGGACTCGGTCTAGCAGTGGTAGACGACATTTCTAAGTTCTAATCCTTACATAGTCTATAACAAGGAACAAATTTGCCTGTATTATCTGTTTACGCGTTTAATAAGCTGCTATTGTGTCTGTCTCATTCTGCCTGCTTACCTGATAGTTGGATTCCTTAATCCTCATCAGTACATATACGTTATTTCATGTCATTTTCATTAGGTAAAAGAATATGAATAGGGAATCACGTAGAATTTCAGCCGATCAAGTAAAATCTGATTATATTTCTTGGCAGAATTTAAGCTTGTTTGGTTTACATCCACAATTCTTTCTGCCTCAGTTGTATGACACTTCGCACGTAATCTCAAACGTTGTTCCTTTTGCCAGCTAATGGCGTTTTTCACTTTTGGTACATATGACTAGTTCCCCTCAACTTTTAAGCTAGACTTAATATGCCTGTATATGTACATTGCGGTAGATTTGACTGTGCAGGACTTTTTTTGCCGGAATCATGGAAAATGACTGAGCTCATTCATTTACCCTACTATAGTCCAACAGGGTGCTAATCTTTGATGCCTCCATGCGGAGCAGCAATGAGTAAAATTTATTTATTAACAGGTGACTATTCCTGGGTGAATGTGGGTTCAGTACCGCCATACCAAGCTTAGCCTGCATCTCGACAGGATATGAAGGCAGCAAAAGGTGAAGTACAAGAGTGCACGGCTGAGCTTTATCAAATTAACGTTTTGAAGGCTGATACAATAAAATGGGATTGCAATGGCTTGTTCCTAAAAAAGGGTTTTAGTTGGAATGTAATGTGCTATCAGTTAAGGTGCAAACTCATCAGTGAGCCTGTAACGGAGGAACAACTGAATTATGAGGTCAGCGTTCCATTTTTTATTTTCAGTCTTCTTAAACCTTATTCCTCTAGGGTTCATTACATACCTCAATTTAGGCGCCAAAGGCTTTTGTGCCAGTTCATAAAGACCCCTTAGGGAGCCATAAAAATTCATTATTCTTAGAATAGCAGCTCCTGCTTCGCTTCCGTGCGTAGTTAGATCTGGAGTAGGTATTGTCATCAATAAAGAGTTGATTATCACCTGCAGAGAAGACTTTTATGCGTCTTCTCTTAAAAGAGCAAAAAAATAAGCATATTTGTAAATCTATTTTGTTCTAATGAAAAACTACCGACAGAAGCCGACATTTGCAAAGGAATCGCAAATAATGGTATCTCACTACCTAAAATTCCATAGTTCAATCACCAAACCAAGTGGAAGAATTTAGCTGGTGGCATTGACAGTATAACGTTAAGGCTAGCTAGTCTATGAATCCCAACACCTGCAATCATTCCGTTGCTCATCCACACAACCTAATATTAAATGCGGGTGATTTGTTGTCAAATGCATGGTGAATTTACCTTATTACTTATTTAGGAATTCCAAGTTGTTCTTTCGGAGCCACTTCGGACACCACTTCTGGGTACTGGGATTAGTGTAATGGATTGCCACTTTGGGAATTATAAATATTATTCTGATATGGAAACGCAATTGGTTTGCTGATTTGGAGCTTTTTGATTAATGAACTTGGCCACAAAGAAGTGGATGGTGTGAACTGGGGCTAGTTTGTGCGAAAAAACGTTCTAGAGACTACTCGAAAGTTCTTACCGTTTTTACACAAGGAGAAACTTTTCTGATGAACACTTCAGATTGTATATGCATTAGGCACAACTCGAAATCAGCAAATATTATTTTTTTTGAAGTGCTTCAAACCCTTAACAGGAATGATCAACAAAGACATGTTTTGCTTCGTAGATGTGTGAGTGGTAGAGGCGGTGTATGGATTATTATTTTATAAAAGCTATTAACTACAATGAAGACGCATCAGCTTTAGAAACAGACGTCTCTCCATCCTTTTTTACATTTTTTAAGCTGCTATCTTCTCTGTAGCCAGACAAGCTATACGTCCTGCCTCGCCCATTGCAATCATTTTCTGCATGGATAAATGAAGGATTTGACCGTTATGTTGGCAGATAAATGAAAGCATGAAGTTCTGCAGCCAAGTTGCTTCTCAAGGGGTAGAAAAGGATTGCAAGCCGAGTCTCAAACAGCTACGAGTGCAATCTCGGCGACTCACCGCATAATATTCTTGGTAGAGGAAGCCTTAGCTAAAGATCCAATGAGCACCAGGATGAAGGTTATCGGGCTCGTTCCATTGCCTCTTTTATTTTCCACAAATTACCTTTCCATCCCTAAAGATAAATTATCATCAATATACCCCACGTGTTGCCTATACAAACGACGAGTGAAGTGATGCCATATCAAGCATTCGTAAGTGATCGTCCACATATACTAGTAAGGAAGTCGATTACGCATCCCCTATCACTCAAAACCATATCTACGTATCAATACTATCCAACATAACATAACAGCAATTACTCGATACAGACAGACGATCCACATTCTCCCTCTTCCAAAGGTTCTTCGAAAGTTAGAAGATCCTCTTCTCTGCCAAGTCCAATTAACGAAGACTGCGCTTTAGAACAGACTTCGTCGACAAGCTTAACGAAATTGCTAAAAGATCCCACTTCTAACAGCGGAGAGTCGAATGCGATCAGCGAAAATTCATGGCAACTGATCACATTCGGTGATTCCCCACGTTCAACACAGATATATTCGTCAAATGCAGAACACGACTTTTAACCCGTGGAAACACCATATTCCTTATGTGCAGACCATTATGGTTAAAAGAAATGGTAAATAACACAATCAATACTTGTCAATTGCCTGCATCCTTCAAATAACGAATTTGATAAAAAAACCCTTGCTGCACACCAGAAGTTCAAACCGTACCTATTGGAACGAAACTTTACCCAATGCGCGGTGGCACTTGGATAAAACTTAATATTGTAGTCAAACAACCAGAAACATGCCAAAAAATTTAAGTAATTGTAAAAAAATGTTCTGAAAGCCACTTTTACAATTTTGATAATGCAACACCTGTACGAATTGCGGGTACTACAGTTAAATATTCGAGTAAAATCCGATGTATTGTAAATCAGTAAAATTAATTTACTTGCGTATTGTTTAAGTTTTAGCACATTAGTTCTAAATATTTAGCCTGTATCTATCTATGACGCAAAAAATTGATGTCTATCTCCCCCCTTCATATCCTTTCACTCACGTATGCGTTTATATGCTTTTTCTGTCTGCCTATAATCGTTGTGTACGATAATGCTTTTTATTGAAAAGATTTGCACTTTGAATTACCCTGCGTCAAACAAGAAGTGGCAGATTTCCCGCCAAATAACGGTAATCTAAATGTCAATAATGCATTTGTGGATCAGTGAATCTGGCACAATCAGCAGAGTAGACTTATTTACTCGCAAATTGTGTGTGCCTAGGCCTGTCTACTTGCTTTACATGTTCTTGCTTCCATCTAACCAGACTGACTACACGATGCTGTCGAATAGGAAATGCAGTGGTGTTTTCGCTGATCATGCTGTTGGGACGATAGCTTTCGTCTAAAGATGAGTAGTTTGGGCCGCGATCACAATTCTTCACCTTTTGCAGGATGTGTACGACCGCCCAGCTTTTTGAGAGGGAAAATACGACAGAAGGAAATATAAACGACTGGCAAATAAATAATACTTGAATTAGAAGTGTTAATTGAGTCTGATTTTTGGATACTTTTAATAAACGCATTTAAATAAATAAAGTGAAATAGTACTTCGTTACTTAAGGCACGTCCACATTTTGTTTCATGTTTTTGCCAATTCTCTTTACCACAAAATGCTTTAACTATTGGTTAGTTACCACATATTATTTTGCCAAAATTAAGGGCATCGCCTCTCCTTTTATAATGCAAAATGTCTTTTGTTAGGTCAAAAGCGAATCCTAACGATTAAAGTCCTCCTGTCCAATGACCACAAATTTCGTTAGGAGAGAACAGCAGAAATTCAAGGGTGTGTCAGAAGATTTGAACGAGAGGTGTACACTAATGTCAGATACTAAATGATCTCAATTCTCTCCTATCACCTTCATCCGTAAATTCTACGGGTTCAAGCTTCGCTTCTGCAGCATTATATTCAGCAGAAGATAAGAAACAGTCATCGTGCAGCAAATGCGGGGATTCCAGAG